CCCCAAAACCCCAAAACCCCCAAACCCCAAAACCCCATTCTGATAAATTTTGCTGATGCACGTAATATTCAAATTTATGACCTCTGAAAATTAGTTGCATTTCCTTACTTCAATAAATTTCTAATATCTTTTAAGCATTAATAATGAAAATGGTTATCAGAATAAGATATAAGACACTTATTTAACTTAAAGTTTTATTATGAATTAACTATTCTGACTATTAGGCTATATTCTAAGTTTATTATCCTGTTGTTGAAATCATTATGTCGCCTGACCCTTTAATGAATTATATATTTGTCCCTTAATCCATTCTCTGCTCTTTGGTTCATACCCCTTAATATTTGCATTATATCTAGAAAAGAATTATTAAAATCATAAATTTGCATCAAAATGATCATGAAAAGTATATAAATTGTTTCTATTGCTTACACTAAACATCCAAGATCCTTTAGAGAGTCTAGATATTGGAAAAGAGCATTCACATCGTATTGAACTTCATTTTGCCCTGGGTTTGAGACCTTTAGCTTTTATTCATACAATTGGCATAAACCATCAACACATTTATAGATATCATCGTAGTCTAAGAAAGTACGGGAGTTGTCATCTGGAGTAAACTGAAGGAGCAAGATTGTGTGACCTTTATTGGATTCTGCCGCAATTTTACGATCTTGTACTGAACTATTCATATTTTTAAATTAAATTATTAATCTATAATAATTACGGAAATAAATTTATCTATTGGTGATTATTAATGAGAGATCAAACTGAAAATAACTCCTATCTGATGATAAGATCATTGACTCCTGAATCTTTGTAAAATGGATCTCAAAAATCATTATAATCATAAAAAAATTAGCTGCTTGAAAAGCATAGATTTAAGCAGCACTAGCAAGGGATCTAAATGGAGTAAACCTTGTAGAATATAAATAATGTCTTCGTTTTCATGAACTCGAAACTGATAAGCAAGCACATTAATGAAGACTTTCATCGATCTGAGAGTGTTTATGGAGATCAAGTTATTAGGAATGAAAAATAGAAACTATCAAGCACTGGGCCTTAAAATGGTATTTCAAGAAATGCAGTCAAGCATTATTTGAATAGCTTCACTCATACAAAGCAGAGACCTCAATCGTAAATGCTGAACAGCAGATTGAAGGCAAGCAAACTGTCGATTATCAAACAATTACCTAACTAAAACTAGCAATCAAGTAGTAATATGAATCTATTTAATTAGTAAAATCCAAAACCAGAGTACTTTATACCAATTCAGTAGCTAAACAAATAGAGCCCTGCATAGAATTAGTAATAACCAGCAGTTCATACACATCTAATTAACAACCAATAATTTTAGTTGAGTTAATATCAAATTCAGTAGATGCAGAAGCAGATGTAATTCATTCAAAATTAGGCTTAGGAATATGTGACTATGGCTAAAAGACTTCAGACTAGGCAATCAGGAATGAGGAACTCATTACTGTAAAGTTAGAAGTAATAGAGGAATCATAGTAATCAGCAGTATTCACACTAGCAATAGAGTTTACCCATTCTTGATGGCAGTCCTAATTAAAAGCTCATTTGGTCTAGGTAAGTGAAACTGCTGAATTAAAATTATTCATAGGGCTGATACAATTCAACCAGAAGCTAGAACTACCAATGTTTCATTTTATAATACCATGGATAGAAGAGAAATTTCTCCATTTCAAAGAAAAAGGACTTCTATAAGTGGATCACATTCAAGAGCTACTTCACCTTAAAGAACTCATAATAATAGTCCGATCAAGATAGTCCAAAATGATGATTCACATGAAAGACAGACCATAAAATAAGTAATATCAAAATTAGTCTAATTGTTGTTTTAGCTTGATAAATCATGGCGAGAAATAATTAAAAATTAGCCTAATTACATCTAGATAAAAAGGAGACTTTTTTAAATAAAAAAGAACAAAAGAAAGATGCCCTAGATTGACTTCAAATTAAAACTGGACTCCTATCATGCTGAGGGTAATTGCCTTCATTGTCGAAAGGGCATTCTTAATAACTATTTACACAATCATAAGCCTGTTGTTTAAGAGGTTTTATGAACAGTTTAAAAAAAACAAGCATTACATTGGCTGTATTGGAATCATAACTTTAATAATCGGAGTGTATAGTTCGGGAATTATCATTTAATTTATATTTATTAACTAATGACTATTTTACTAATTTTAAGGCTTAATTGTAAGGATGGGGTTTTGGGGTTTTGGGGTTTTGGGG